CTCCTACTGCTACTGCTACTGCTACTGCTACTGCTATTGCTACTGCTGCTGCTGCTGCTACTGCTACTGCTACTGCTACTGCTGCTGCTACTGCTGCTGCTGCTGCTACCACTACCACTGCCACTGCCACTGCCACTACCACTACCGCCACTACCGCCACTAACGCCACTAATGCCACTACCACCACGACTACCACTACTACCACCACTACCACTACCACTACCACTACCACTACCACTACCACTACCACTACCACTACCACTACGACTACTACTACTACTACTACTACTGCTACTTTTACTTCTACTACTACTACTACTACTACTACTACTACTACTATTACTCCTCCTCCTCCTCCTGCTGCTTCTGCTGCTGCTGCTGCTGCTGCTGCTCCTGCTCCTGCTCCTACTCCTACTCCTACTCCTACTCCTCCTCCTCCTACTACTACTACTACGACGACGACTACGACTACGACTACTATTACTACGACGACGACGACTACTACTACACTACTACTTCTTCTACTTCTACTACTTCTATTACTTCTTCTACTGCTACTTCACCTGCTAGCTGCTGCTACTGCCACAGCTACTGCTACAGCTACTGCTGCTGCTGCTGCTGCTGCCACGACGACGGGTACCCATTCTTTCCGCAAGTTCCTTTAGACCGACCCAATCTGGACGAGTCACGTAGGGTCTGTGGTCTGCTGGCTTAGCACCAGGTCGTCGAGATCGACCCCTGGGCAGTTCGTTCTGCTGATGTTTTGGAAGAGGACCTTCGAGAAAGGGCAGTCGGGTTTCGCCAGAAACCCAGAACGACAAGGAATCACAACTGCTCGCATCCCATGCCTTAAGCCGGAATTCGCAATGATCGGGCTCTGATTTGCTCCGGCGTTTAACACGCAGCCCGAGTCCAGCCTCGACGTTCCTAAACATTAAGCCCTGAACCGAAACCCAAAAAACCCTCTGCCCCAAAGTTTCAGAACGAAGCCCTGTGGCCCGGCCTGACAAACGTGTCTGTCACTTCACGAGTCTGGAGGAGTCATTGCCTCTAACCTTTGAAGCTCCACTCGCATGTTCTACGGCACAGGTGAAATGGTGAGGCATCAGCCCTTAAGATTTCGTGGGTTCGGATTTGGCCTGAGATGTAGCGTTCGGGATCTAAGGTTGAGTTTCATCCCCCCCTCCCAGAGGTGTTTTGGGGCAGGGGAAACATCAGGAGCGCTACCCCGCACGGTGGACGGGCTGGAAAAAGTCTCACGAGCGCGTCCGCGCGGCCCTCGGGTTCTTTGAGCCTTTGGATCTTTAGGGCTTTCGGGTCGGTGCAAGCTCCTCCACATTTGGCCGAAATCTTCACCTTGACCCGTGGTGTATTGGGGCTGCTGAACCACATGGAATTACTCAGTATCAGTTTGTCGTGATATGTTTGTTATTGTTTCCAAGTGCTGTTGTTCTATCAACAGTGACATGATCGTCTCGTTGTTTTTAACCGTGGCCTGTTCATCGGCCGCGCCAGTACAGAACCAAGTCTAAGGCCAGTGCGTTTCACAGCCGATGTGGCTGGGTCTGGCAGAATCTCTGTGCCAGTTCTATTTTATTGCAAGCGAAGCTTCAGTAGATCGGGAAAAGCGGGCAAAGGAAAAAGTCAGCTTAGCTTTCATGGGCACTCGCTTCGGATCTTCATCCACCTGGGGATCAGCAGAACCATCGAATGAAGCCTTGCACTACGTATGCAGCTCGACGGAGAAGTGAACCCCAAACAGATGCCCAGATCCACAGACACTGCCATGACATGTGAAGGCTTTGTGGAAGACAAGGGCAATGCAGACTTGTCCTAACTGCTCAGGTGAGGTGCTGTCCTTTACGACAGGATCCCCGCCTTGCTCTCAGTGCGGCTTCAGGCTTGAGAGCACTCAGCCTGGTCTTTGGTGGAGTAACATACCTTTGTTGTTCAGTACAAGATCCACAGCTGATTGCCGTACGAGCCAGGGGTGTGGGTTCGTGCTCTGCCTTTGACAAGGATTTATAAAGTGTCGAGCTGTGAAAGATAAATGCGAAAAGAAGTTCATGCATTGAGGATGGCGGGGATTTTGCAAGGTTTTAGACTCAGGGCTTGAACTTCCAGCCGAAGTTGGGCACAAGAATGCTCACAGGTGTGTAACTGAGAAATCTTGAGAGGTGCCTTCGACTCATCTTCCATATCAGTGCAGTGGACAAAGGAAGAACCGGAATGCAAACGGAACCGAGGAGAGGTGTCCAAGAGCGCAGTCCTTTTGTGCTTAGATCAGCGGCTCAAGACTGCTCCTAGTTCCATGCTTGATTTCCGGGCAGCGAGTCTTCATCCGCCATGTTCCGCGACCTGAGCTTCCGAAGAGAGCATCGGTCTTTGTGCCGATGGAAACTTGGATACTACGGGGCCGTTAAGCTGGCAGCCTGGTGGAGGAGGTCATCACGGTCTTTTTGCCGAGCCTTGGGTTTACCCACAAGAGCTTATCTTTATGCTTCTGCTTATGGCTTGGTCAGGATTGTGCTTTAGGACTGGTGTGTAGGTGATGATTCGGCTTGAGCCGCATGTATGTTTTTTCATTTCTTTTTGCCCATGGACCGCGGTACCTGCCACTCCCCCCTTGACGGCTCTGTTGCCAGGTTTAAGCAGCAAGGAGCCCCAAAAAGACACCTGCACCTTTCTCAAGACCAGCCCTAAACCCGAAACCCCACACTCCCGAGACTCCCGAGCCCCAAACCCCCACTCCTGGAAAGCCGAACCCCCCCCAAAAAAAATCCACTAATTCCACTTCATCAAAAGCTCCTCTTGGGCCTGGAAGATCTGGAGGCTCCCGTGCTCGCCGTGCCTGTTGGCTCACAAGTGTAGTGTAGGCCGTGTAGGCAACACCGTGTGCTTTTTGTCGCGCTGTGACGCGATGGGCGCCTGGGGACGGTCGCGTCTGTGGATGAGGTGCCTCTCAAGGTGCCAAGCGGCAAACTTCGCGGCTCCTGCAATAGCTCGACCGGTGGAAAGATGGGATCTGCGACCGTTTGCGGCGATGTTGACAGTACTCACTGCAGAGCAGGCCAGGAGGACCCAGCTCCAGAGCAAGGGATACGTGGGTTGTGCCTCCACGCAGCGCGTTAGCCTCGGCCAAGCCACTGAGTTCGACGACGCCAGCATGCGCGAGGTGAAAATTGAGGGGGGAGCCGCTGTTCTGGTACATCGACACCAAGGTGAGTTCTTTGTGACCTCGCCAGCATGCGGCCATTACGGCGCCCTGCTTCGAAAGGGCATCAGCTCTGCCGGAGGCCGCAGGCAAAAACAACCCGAATTTTCCCTAAAAGATGTGACTCCTGAACTCTACGATCCCTTTTTCATAACCTTGCAATCCTTATGAGCTGCATACGCCCGCAACAGAATACAAAGCTTACAAAGCGTACAAGCCCCACAAGACGTTTCAAACCGCCAGAAAAGGCCGTGGCGGGCCACCGACCGTCACGTGCCCTCTTCACGACGCCACCTTCGACTCCAGAACCGGCCAGGTCGTTCGAGGCGAGGGTTTTAAAGTTTATTGGTTTAGGGTTTAGGGCGGCTTAGGGTTTCGGGTTTAGGGTTTATAGCTTCGGCTTGAGGCTCAGCGCTGTAAAGGCGTTCTTGTGTCCAGGAGCTAAGGTTGAGGGACGTAGTTCCAGGGGTCAAGGGCTTCAGGTTTTGGATTTAAGTCTTTGAGGTTTTGTCGTTTCGGTTCTGGAAGTCTTAGCTTGAGGGGGTTGTAAAGGGCCGGATCTTTTGCTGCCTGTTGGTTTTCGTTTCATTCGGGTCCTTGCAGCAGGTTGTTGACCCTAAACCCTGTTATCGTTGAGGGTTTCGGATTTAGGTTTAGGATTGGGGTTCACGGGTTCTCAGTCCGCGGATGCCGGCGTCGGAGAGCATTTCGAGTTCAGATCCAAGCATCTTTGGGCTCTTCTTTCAGAGTTCGCAGGCAGGTGAGCCCTGCAGCAAAAACCCTGAGCCTATGGCCTATGCAGCCCCAAACACAACTTCTGAACATGAAACAGATAACCCTGGCCCGGAAGCTCTTTTAGCCCATAGCTTCTAAACCCTGAACTCGTAAGGGTTTTGAGGGATCCGACCTAGGAGTTCGCGGTCAGAACCCAGCGCTGTTTAGGACTTCGGGTTTCAACTTCAGAGCCGTTGGATAGGTGCTATGATGTTGGATTCAGCCGGGAAAAGCAACAAGACACCTAGCTCCTGAACCTCAACACAAAGCCCCAAACCACGAATCCCAAACCCGACCCTAAACCGAAATCCTTAAACCCCAAACTGCAAGTCTTAGATGCCCAATCTAGAACGGATTCACATGATGGCAGCTCATGGTTTCACATGCCGATGGGCACAGGGCTTAAGGGCTCAGGGCTTGGGGGTTTAGGGTTGAGGGGGTATACCCGAAGGATCAGTGGACATAGTGAGAAAATGACGGTTGCAAGGAAGGATTCAATGGAAGCTGTGATCAGTCCTGTTGTTCACCCGGATAGGGTAAATGAGACCTTACTTATTGCTACCCATGAGATTTCATGCATGGTGTTGAGTTCGTGGTGAAACCAATGACTTTCCATCCCTACTTTCCTGAGGGCCCAGTGTGGACGGCATCGCGGTCTGCAAGTCCGAGGCCACATTCCAATTTAAACTTCAATCTTAAATTTACTCATGCTTTTATCGAACCTGAACCAGTACTGCTACATTCCCGAGTAGGTAGCTGGACATGAATGTGTGTGTGTATATTTATATACACAGATGTATGTATATATATATACATATATATATATATATATTATAGTATATATACAAAGATACATATATACACATACACATACGTACGTGCGCACACACACACATACACACTCCGGTTCTGTGAGTATACATGGCTAGACAAGCGCACAAACCTGTAAACATGCGAATATGTATATGTATGTGTACTCATGTCTGTGTGTGTATACATACATATGTATATATATATGAATTAAAGTACGCGTATGAATATATATATATAATATAATAGAATATAATATAATATAATATAATATATATATATATAGATATATGTACTTATATATCATATCATATCATATATATATATAATATGCATGTCCACATACATACACGGATAAATATACATATATGTACATCCATATGAGCACATATATGCAGGCATGCTTATACCACCACCAATGCATTCATCGTAATTTGTACAATTACCCCTAAAAGGCCAGTGCATACGGGGTAGTTCTCTAAATTAGGGTTCCTGTTTAGGGTCCCCAATATAGTACGGCACCCTTTATAGAAAGGACTCCCCAGGGACCCTACTTTAGAGAACTGCCCTTCAAGAGGACCCCCCTTAAAGGAACCCTTGTAGACCCTCATAGAACCTGTAAAGGAACCTTTTATATGCACGTGCTCGAACCCGGAGTCCCTGTGATTTTGGGGTCCCGTTTTAAGGGTTTGGGGTCAAGTTTGGGGTTAAGGGTTGCAGTTAAAGTGTTTAATGATTTAGAGTTTGGGGTGTAGGGATTGAAATTTCATTTCAGGTGTTTAACACTGTATTTCAAGTTCATTGTTTGGGTTTGTTAGTTTTTAGATCTTGAGCAGGTGAAGAATGGGGTCCTATTCGCCGACCTCCCGCCAGAGCTGGTGGCTGGAACCGGCAAGCATCCGAAGGCGCTTGCAAGTCCCCAAACCCCCTTGCAGGGATTGAGGGGAACCTATGTGCACATGCAAAGCTTGTAGGCTTATAGACGCGCAGCGGTAGTCTGGCGCCGTCGATGCCATTCCACGGACAAACTGCGGTAGATTTTGTTCGGATGGGGTGCAGGCCCTTTCGCGGACGCAACGCAACACCCAGCGCAAAGGAAACTAGCCGACGAATCACAGGCCCGTGGATCCATGCGGGGCCTAGACCGAGCCCCAGTCAGTCTCGTGTCCGTTTGACGCAGCGCTGCACGACGGCATCTACCGCCCTTCAGAGACGTTTACAGCAGCACTTGCCAGCTGCGGCATGGTGAACCAAGGGCCACGGAAGGGATGTGCATGACACCGACCAAACAGCCTTTCGAGCTCTCTTGACGTGGTCGCGTTCCATGCGCTTCTGAACTCGAATGTGGGAGACCAAGCCATCGACCGAAACGGAATGACAGCAGTCACCTACAGCTTTCAACCTGGACATCGAGCATTATTTATGTCTGGGAACATAGCTTCGTTTTTCGGTTGACACCCTTTTGAACCAACTTAATCGTCAGCGAGTTTCCGGTGTTTCTTTTCGAGAGCTGAGAGCATAAGTCCTCTTGCTCTGGCAGTGAGGCTTTCTAGCATTGCTGGTTTGGCCGGCTTGCCATCTACCCCCTGCGAGCGAGGATCGGCAGCCTACTAGCCAGTCGCTGCAACCAGCCGCAAAGCCCGCATCTCCGAGCCCCCCCAAAAATAATCGTGGAACCTCAGTCTCTAGCAAAGCCTCCCAGACTCTGCCGGCGCATCGCATTTATCAGCCACGGGTGTTGCGCTCGTTCTGCGGCGCTGATCGCCTGCCCCATGAAAAGTGGTGTGGAAGTTTGTCCTCACATCCGTTGTGATGTGGTGACACCTGTGTCAGACGGTGGGCATTCATACCAGGCATGAAGCTCCACTTCCGTGGGTTTGCCCCGTGCACAACTAGATGTCCAGACTAGCTGGTTGAGGCACACTTCTCATCATGTGCGAGTTTTGTGTGTCAATATGTGTTGCACAGCCCTCGCCGGTATGTCATGAAAGTTATGTTGCCGGAACATGCCGAAGCAGAAATGGCTTTGTTTTGTGGGGTGGGTCCATGCATGGCCTGCTGGGTGTGGATGGTCTGTATATCCCAATGTGGAATATAATTAGGGTTTGTATATCCCAATTCGGAATATAGTTCGCAGGCTGCTGCCAGGTCGTTCTCATTCGACTGAGGATGTTCAGGTGCTTGATTGACACAAAAGGGGTCTTGAATGCAGGCGAGTTGGGAAGGCAATGGGGCACAGACTTGCTACTCGTGGTGGCTCGTGTAGTGCGCCTGCACTGCGAGCCGACGACCTGTGGCCGCATACGTGCGTGGGCGCAGTTGAGCGGGACCATGCGAAGCATTGCAAAGCACACTTTGCTGCCACGGCATCGTACTGGCCATGTGATTGAACTTGCTCTGTTGTGTGGTCAATGCCATCGTGGTCCAAATGGCTACGGAATACAGGCAGAGTGCAGTCCCTTACTTGTTCCAACCAGATGACTTGGCTTCTTGGTCTTGGTGAAGTTGATGCGGTACCCAACATGACCGGCAAGTGCATGGATGCTGCAGGATGCTTGCCAGTTGGATGTGTTGCAAGCATCTGCCAGCAGGATGCTTTCGCCCGATTTGTTGCACATCCCGCGTTTATACGTGCACCGCGTTACAGTCGACGATGTGCGTCGACACCTTCAAGTTTTCTTCCGGCTGACATTGTCCATTTTTTCGCGACGACGCGGTGAACCACGACCCATTGCAGCTGCAGAGTTGTTGCGACTTGCCTCTCGCAGCATCCAAGCGTCGTGTTGCACAGGCAACAACCCCCCGCGACAGTGTACCGTCGTAAACTTTTTATGTTTGAGGTACGCGACACCTGGAATCATATCCGAATCGATGCTGATTGTCCTACGAACAATCACCTCATGAACAACGAGTGTATGAAAATATGTTTTCATGTCGCGATCGCCGTCGATCACCGAAGGCAGCCTCCTCCTCTGAACCCCAAATGCCACATGCAAGCATAGCCAGGGCGACGGCGTAACTACATTCGTGGTGGCGGCCCAACGTGCGTACGCCATGTCGCTCTTGGACTTGCCGCTGGGGACGGCCCCACACTCGCTGAGCAGGGTCGTCACGGACAGCCGCCTGCCAGCGCTGCCAGAGCCATGAGCCAATTGGCATGGCGCGTAGGTAGACACCGCCAGGCTCAAGGACATCTCCGCGTGGGCGGCAACAGGCATCAACAAGAAAAGCACGCTGCATTTTGATGCCGCTGGGGCATTCGACCATGTTTGCCCTTTGGGCACGGCCAGAGCTGCGTCCGCTCCTCCCGTTTGCCCGCCAGATATACGGCTTTTCTCAGCAGCTATGCATGCACAGACGGACGAGGCATCAAGCAGGGCGAACGGGGGAGCAAGGGGCTCCCTTAATGCCGCTATTGTATTGTTTCGCCCAACAACAGCTTTTGAAGAGGCCCAAGTGCAGTTGCGAGAGGGCGATGCGATCTTGGTTTACCTCGACAACATTTACATCGTCGCCACGCTTGACCGTGTCTGCGAAATCACGAGGCGCACCGGCATGCACTGTGGGCCCATGCACGCGGCGAGGAACCAAATAAAAATTGCAGCGTCGCAAGGCGATCAGGGCGATCCAGAAGCCTTAGCGTGCGTAGCGGGCCGGACCAACAGGCGCTCTGCCGAGGCCGCCGAAGCGCAATGCCAGGCCTTCAAATCGCGCTAAGCCTTGCAAACCAAAGCCTTGGGTTTGAGACCTTTTGGGTCTTGTAGGGCTTTAAGGGAGTTTAGGGCCTTATAGGGTTTAGCCTTCGAGTTTTGGTGGGGTTGTGGGTTGAAGGGATGAGCGTCTTGGAGCTTAGTGTTCCCCTCTTGAAGCTGCCGCATGCTGCTGCGCGACTTGGCCCGAGCTACATTTGCCAGCACAGCCGTTGCCAAGCCGCGAGGAGTCGACGAGGCTCGGGTCCGCAAATTCTTCGCTCTCTATAGAGATGGGAATTACAAGCGTTTTACTGCGATGTTCACTGTTAGTCTTTAGGTTCAGACGGAGCAGCTTCGGCAAGCTGGAATGCAGGCATACAGGGCTTGAAATCCTTCTGGGTTTGGACACAGTGGCTCTTGCTGAAACCTTTCTTGAGCCATGCATCTAAGATGTAGCGATGGGGCATCTTCGAAGCGAAGGTCGCTTGGAGCGATCTTCGCATTTCCGAAGAGTCACCAGAAGTCTTGGACGAAACCGGTGCGACCACGATTTGAGTATGAAGGGTCCTTGCCGTTGCCGTACACTTTCCGGACTTTAACTTTAGGAGGTAGACATGTTGAAAGGTTTTAGGTATTGCGGCATGGTCGCAGACAGAAATCGGCTCGACTTGCAGTAGTGCCAAATTGACCCATTCGGTCGGCCGACCCTGAGTCATGTCCAACCTTTACCGCACAGCCCTGCCACTCGCCCCACGAGGTTCAGGCGTTTTCGGGTCGTGATGCTTTTTCTCTTCCCCTTGCCAGGCCGTCCATGGGACTTGGGCGGGAATTCATCGTTGCCTCGTTGGCCCTCAACATCGTCGTGCTGGCCAGGGCCATAGAACAGCGCATAGATGTGGCGCACGAGGCAGTATTAACTAGCAATTCTGCGCTCAGGGCCGCAAGCTATGGCCCTAAATGCCTCACGAAAGCTGACTACTGCCAACGGTTTTCTGACTTGAGTTTGGTGTAAACAAAAGTTCTTTCGTCAAAGCAACGAGTGCATGTGAAGTAGTTTGCGGCCGTTCTGTTTGGCTGGTACGTGCAGAGTCATAGCAATTAGCTCCTTTCTGTTCTGGTAGTACCTAGCCGCTTTAATGGCTGCAGTGTCAAAGAGCCCTCGCTCACCGACCTTGAAAATTCCGACATTGGTGTTCCTTGTCAGTGTAGTTGGCATGTCGATCCTAGGTTCCAGTGTGCTATGGCCTCTACACGAATGGCGAAGGCGATGGCTTCATCGGTAAACGGGACGGTTGATGATATAAAACCTGCATTACCCAGAATAACGAATATACCACAGTTCCCATAGTGTCCTTAAGATAGGATTTGTATCATCAACAGCAGGACCAGGAAATACTCTTGTTCTCAGCTTGGCCCCCCTAATCCGGCGCAGGCATGAAGCATGTTTACGGAGCAGAGACTCCGGCGAGGGGCATTCTGAAAGCTATGTACACGCCACGGCCCGAGTTAGCCCCCTCCCCCCCCGACCCCGGACCCGGCCGCTGGGGGGCGGACACTTTTCGATTGATTCTGAGACAATGGCGTTTGTAATTAGGTGCATCAGACACCCAGGGCATCCCAGGCTTGGCAACCTGCCTCGGCTGAGTCTGAGGTCCATTCTCTTTGTATCCCTGGGTTTGGTGCCGGCGGTTTTCATCGACGAAGTGCGCGCCTTCGGCTGCATAGAGTCCTGTAGGCATGTGTGGATTTTGTCATCTCCTAAATCCCGAGTGTAGGTGTAGGATCATGCAAAATTCCGTGTACAGCCGCTTCAGAAGAATCATGAACAGGTGAACATGTCTTCCTATATGAACTTGCGGTTAAGACAATTGATGCCCAGTCTACACAGCCTAAATCGACACATCGCAATCATCATCCCAGCACTAAGTGCCTTTCCAGGAGTTGGTGCGCAGTTTATGGCTGCTGGACTTCTCATAGTGCAGAATCTTGTCTCGCAAAAGCTTCTCAATATTATATTATGTTATATTATATATATTAT